GGGTGGTGAGCATGCAGCCGAGGGCACAGACGTGTTCAGAGGGGTCAGTGCAGCAGGGGCCCGAGGGGAAGGAGGTCTAGATTCCTGGCTCTGCCATTGCTGCTGGGGGGTCCTTGGCCAACTTGCTGGCTCTTTCTAGATCTGTTTCCTCTCTCTCTTTTTTTTTTTTTTTGTTTTTGTTTTCGTTTTCAGTCCTGGAGATAGAACTCGGGACCTTGCACTTGCCAGGCAGATGCTTATACTAGTGAGCTATCTCCTGGCCTGTGTTTTTTGTTTTGTTTTTTGAGACCGGGCTTGCTATGTGGTTCAGGCTGGCCTTGAGCTCACAAGAGTCTCAAACTCAAGGCAATCCTCCTGTCTCAGCCTCTTGAGTGCAGGGATTACTGGCATGTACCACCACCCCTGGCCATTTTTTTTTTAAATCTTGAGATAGAGTCTTGCTAAGTCTGTAAATTACCTAGGCTATGGGCAGACTTTATTTGGTACAGGGTCTTGCTGTGCAGCTCAGACTTGTAGTGATCCTCCTGTCTTAGCTTCCCCAGTGCTGGGCTTACAGGCGTGTGCCACCATGCCCAGTTTAGGTGGCTGGAATGGTAGCATGCGGTAGCAGGGATCCAACCCGGGTCCGTGCACTTGCCAGGCAGGTGCTTAGACCATGCCCAGCAGTTTTCTCTTATTGGGATGGGGACAGTATATTTGGAGTTCTTTACCCTTTACTGCATGTTCAGTAAGACCAGCCCATGCTGGGCTCCTCAGTGCAGAGGAGGAAGCAGGCACTGCCCAATTGCTGGGACTCGCACTGTGTGCTCGGGTGGGAGGCCGGGGCCGGGGTCCTCTACAGGTCAAGGCATGGGGGTGCTTCCCCAAGTGTGGGCTCTGACACGAACCTGTGTGGTTTAGGAAACCCGGTGTCATGGATGAATGTCCTTTAGGGCTTGGCCAACATGGACTTGAGCTTGAGGAAGTTACTAACTTCTCTGTGACTTGGTTAGGAAACAGATGAAGAAACCAAGGGCGATTACCTGATCTAGGTAAAGCACTGAGTGGAGGGGCTACACACGGGGCAACAGAGGCAGAGGCTCCAAGCCACACAGCCTAGGATGAGATGTACCTAGTGGAGAAATTTGCGTCTCAAGCCCCTCTTCCTTTGTCCCCACCCCCAGGGTCAGTGTCAGTGGCGGCAGCCGCCAGGGAAGGAAATCTATCGCAAGAGCAACATCTCTGTGTACGAGGTGGATGGCAAAGACCATAAGGTGAGCTGGGGGTGCAGGGGGCATAGGGGGTTGGGGAGACCCAGGGCACCTCTTGAACTGTCCTATGGTTGCTGCACAGAGAACACAGCCCTGAGAGGCCAGCCTTGGGGCGGTTGTCCTTTGAGTCCCTGAGCACTTCTAATGGGGGTCCTTCAGGAACCCAGAACAGAGACTTTCTCTCTTTTTTTTTTTTTCTGAACGGAGAGTATCTTGCCTGAAGCTGCTATAGACATCTTGTTCCCTCTGGTGGAAAGGTGTTTTGGGGTTTTTTTTGCCTGCGAGGGAATCTTTGTATGAGATTTCTGTCCAGGAGCTCTGGGGCCCATGTTGGCTGAATTCCACTGTTCCTGGCAGAATGACTTCAGGGGCTAAGGAGGGACCTTTGGAGCTGTTGTTCACCCTTGACCTTTGCTAGTCAGTCTGGGAAAGTCTCACAGAGAGCATTGGCTGCCCTTGGAAGGGAGTATAAGATAAGATCCAGGTTTCCAATTGTCCTTCACTTCCTGCTTGATTTCAGACCAATTGCTTATTGCTTAACCTTGTTTTGTTCCTGTTTCCTCATCCATAAGACAAGAGTCATAATTAGTTACCTAATGGTTTTGGTGGTGGAATAAATGAGACTACAAATGTCAAGTGTGTGGCATACCTCCCGACAGCTGGGAAAGGCTTAGTAAGCACAGCCCATACTGTTGTCAGGGACCTTTTGGGGCCCAGGTAGCCCGTGCTTGGGAGTACGCGCTCTGCTGCAGCCCTTCCTGTTGCTCTTCCTCCTGAGCCTAGGTGGGCTCCTGTGGATAGGCGAGGGCCTTTGCTCCTTTCCCTCTGCCTGTGGTGAGACCTCAGGCACAGTTCCGCCCAGGAGCTTCCCCTTCCTCCTGAGGCAGTTGGGACTAGCAGGCTGCACTCACACAGTTATTAGGTCAAATGGAAGGACAGATAGGAAGAAGGTTCACAAACCAGAGATCCTCTTAGTGTGTGCCTTGAAGCCAACTGAAAGGCCTCATTGTCCTCTTTGATGCTAGCCTGAGAGGGTTTCTGGCTGCGCTGCTAGGAGACCGGTGAGGTCCAGCCGGGTGTGCGTAACGGGGCAGGCAGGCTCACTCAGGCTCCCCGCCAGACTGCAGCCTCCTCCAGCTGACTTAACGCTCAGCCTCGGGCAGTGCTGGGGCCACTGTGAGCACCCCAGAACTCACTCGCAGTGGGTTCCTGCCCTGGCACTGCCAATCGTGGAACCTGTGGCAAGCCGCCTGCTTCCCTGAGCCTCGGTTTGCCATTCTGAAACAAGTTCTTTGGAGTTCGAACCTCACAACTCTCCCGCTGGCCAAAAGTGCCCTGAAGGCATTCGAGGAACCAAAAAAAAAAAAAAAAAAAAACAAACCCTTATTCTGAAACAAGTTCATGTCTGTGAAGTCTGTAAAACACCTTGCCTGAATTTAGAACCCCGATTCATTCGATTCATTCGGCTCTGTAGTTACATGTTTGCTGCCAGCAGCTGATTGTGGGCTTTCTTATCCACCAGAAATTGACTCTTCAGACTCCTTCCAGGTCTAAATCCTGCTGCTCTGGTGAGGGTCCCACTTTTCCCTGGCTGGAGGTTGGCTGCTCTTTGGACCCTGGCACTTGCATAGAAGCAGGGCAGCTGCTTCTGGCCAGGCTGGGTGGGGCATCCTGATTGCCCCCCGAGCTTATTTCTGCCTCCCGACCCCTCAGATTTATTGTCAGAACCTGTGTCTGCTTGCCAAGCTTTTCCTGGATCACAAGACATTGTACTTTGACGTGGAGCCCTTTGTCTTTTACATCCTGACTGAAGTGGACAGGCAAGGGGCCCACATCGTCGGCTACTTCTCTAAGGTGCTGGGTCAGGGAGCCCAGGTGGGAGAGGGGCAGGGAATAAAGTAGGGATGAGCTGCCGGGTCCTGAGCACCTACACCCCCCAGGAAAAGGAGTCTCCAGACGGAAACAATGTGGCCTGCATTCTCACCCTGCCGCCCTACCAGCGCCGCGGCTATGGGAAGTTTCTCATAGCGTTCAGTGAGTAGTCCCTGCCCTGTCTGGGAAGGGGCAGCTGTGGGGACAGTTGGGGGTGGAGTTCCAGGGTGGCTTGGGTCTCAGAATCCTCTTTCTGTCCCTGCCAGGCTATGAGCTATCCAAGCTAGAGAGCACAGTAGGCTCTCCAGAGAAGCCCCTGTCTGACCTGGGCAAACTCAGCTACCGCAGCTATTGGTCATGGGTCCTGCTGGAGATCCTGCGAGACTTCCGGGGCACATTGTCAATCAAGGACCTGAGGTGAGGGCCAGACCACACCACAGCCAGGGCATGCTGTTCATCCAGAGCCTGTGGAGGGAGGCCTCCTGGAATCATGGTGGGAGGGGCCTATCTGCAGTACCTGCTCTGATCCCTCTCTGCAGCCAGATGACCAGTATCACCCAGAATGACATCATCAGTACCCTGCAGTCCCTCAACATGGTCAAGTACTGGAAGGGCCAGCACGTGATCTGTGTCACACCCAAGCTTGTAGAGGAGCACCTCAAAAGTGCCCAGTATAAGAAGCCACCCATCACAGGTGGGTGGGGGATGGGACCGTGCGTGTTGGGGGGTGTAGGTGTGAAGGCTGTAGGAGCCAAGGCTGCCTCACAGCTGTCGCATGATCCCAGACCAGTCAGACCAGCTCCAGGATGAAGCCCAGGGCACGCGACTTGTGGAGCTTCCCTGCCTCCACCCCACCCAAGGTTGAGGCCGCCCCCTGGTGCTTCCTCACCTGGCTGGCCCAGAGAGGAGCTGTCACGGGAGAGCCCGCCTGGCGCAGAGGCCCTGTCTGCCACTCGTCTCTCCTTTCCACAGTGGACTCCGTGTGCCTCAAGTGGGCGCCCCCCAAGCACAAGCAAGTCAAGCTCTCCAAGAAGTGAGCAGCCTCTGCCCCTAGCTGTAAATATGTACAGACCTCTTCTGTCGTTTTCTAATAAAGTAAATTCTGCTGGTGGCGCAGAACTTCAGAGGTGGGAGGGTCCCAGATTTGACATCCTTCATTTCACACAGCCAGTTGTGCTCAAAACAGTTCACTCCTGCCTGATCTTTTATTCCCCACCCCCACCCAAGCCCCAGCTCAGCTCCGGTGGGGGCTCAGTCCTCTGGAGTCTGGCAGTCAGCAAGCAGATGTGGCTTGGTGGCCAACTGGGCAAGATTGAGGCTGTTCCTGTCTCTGAGGCAGGCAAGCCTGGAAAATGGCAGCCAGGCAATGGGCTTGTCGGCCGGCAGTGCTGGGAGCAGCCCTGCAGCAGCGATTGGCTCAGTAGCCACTCAGTCTCATAGAAGCGGGTGGGAGCTGGGGCCCGTGTTTGGAGCTAAGGGTTCTTGGGAGCTATCCAGGAGCCCAGCCAGTAGGCTGCAGAGAGCGGTAGAAGTGGTTGGTGGCCCTGACCGTGCCACAGGCTATAAACTCTTGACCCTGGGTTACAGTTCGAAAGAGCCAATCTGGAAGAATAGGCTCAAAAATCAGGACAGAGTCCTAGGAGGAGGTGGCCAAGGAGGGCTCAGGCCCAAAGGGCATGTCCTTGGGGATGACCTGTGAGTCCTCGAAGTGGGACCAGTTCCAGAGCTCAGTGCTCTGCCAGGAGCTGAAGGGGCACCAGGGTCAGGCTCAGTGGCAGCAGCAGGAGGGGCCGGAGCAAGCCCTGACTTGGGCTGGAGCTGAAGGACAGAGACTTGTTGCAGAGGTGGGTGTCAGGCTGGGACTCCTGCACTTGGGGCACCACGTGAGTCTGGAGTGGTGCTCCATGCTCTTGGATCCAGGAGGCGTAACTGGAAGTCAGGGTGTACACACCGGGCCTGTTGGGGGCCCCGCAGGCGTCACCCCAGCTCACAATCCCTGCCAGGTACCAGATGCCCTCCACAGGGCAGGAGAGTGGGCCCCCGGAGTCACCCTGAGGAGAAAAGCGACACAACAGCTAGGGCCCACCAGCCCCCCCCCCCCAAGCTGTGCGCTCCGCCATCCCAGCCCTGGCTGTCTACCTGGCAGGCGTCCTTGCCACCCATCACGTAGCCAGCACACACCATGTCCTGCTGGATGGTGTGGGGCTCTTCAGGCTTGGCGTTGATGGCGTACAGGCAATTGCACGTCTCACGGCTGATCAGTGGCACCTCGAGTTGCTGTAAGGTCTTGGGGGCTGAGAGGCTCACTGTGGGGACGGAAGGTGCTTAGCAGTGGCCTCCTGCCCTAAGTCTCCCCTCCACACTGCTGAGCATCCCGCACCACTCACCTGAGGGTGCTACATGGCCCCAGCCAGTGACAGTACACTTGAGACCATTGGGGAAGGAGGCATTGGCTGCAGGGAGGCAGATGGGCTTGATAAAGCGGCTAAAAGTAATGGGGCGGCCAAGGCGGACCAGTGCAATGTCGCCCTCGGAGCCCTCTTCTCGGTAGGTGGGGTAGGAGATGACCTGGGCCACATCGCGGATCTCATTTCCTTCGGTGAAGGAATCCAGCTGGTGGGCGCCCAGCCGCACCTCGTAGTCTTCCACCTTGTGTTCACTGCAGGCACAGGGCAAAGGCTGGGACCTGGAGACCTTGCCTTGTTCTCTGGTCCCTGCTGCCTTATGGTGTACTGATCCCTTTAAGGCCTAGTTTGATTTTGGTTTTTTGAAGTCTCACTGTAGTTCAGGCTATCTTGGTAATCCCCCTGCCTCAGCCTCCCAGTGTTGGGATTACAGGTGTAACCCCATCCCTGGCCGGGCTCCAGGCCTAGATTTATCCTGTGACCTCCCTTCTAATCCCTCACCTTCACTTGTCTGGGTTTAAGAGTATCAGTAAAGTAAGTCAAGAGTGGCGGCCTGTATCTGCAATCCTAGCGCTCTGGGAGGCTAAGGCAGAAGGGTTGCAAATTCCAGCCTAGCCTTGGCCAACTTAGTGACTTAATAAGACCCTCATTCAGACAAAAACACCTTCACTTTCAGACTTAAACTGTGGGGGTTTTGTTGTTGTTGTTCCAGTGGGGCTTTGCACTGAGCTATGTCCCTAGCTATGGCTTTTTACTTTTTGTTTTTGTCTGAATGAGGGTCTTACTAAGTCACTAAGTTGGCCAAGGCTAGGCTGGAATTTGCAACCCTTCTGCCTTAGCCTCCCAGAGCGCTAGGATTGCAGATACAGGCCGCCACACTTGACTTACTTTACTGATACTCTTAAACCCAGACCAGTCCCCACGCTGTAATGTCCCTGACTGCCCTTCTGGCAGTCGTAAGCATTGTTAAGGAAGCTGCCACTCGGCCGTGCCGTATAGCACAGGAGCCAGGCTGAGCCTCCTGGTCGACCTGTGTGTTTGCCCTGGAAGCCCCAAGGTGGGACCTAAGAGCTGAGGGGAGAGAACAGCCAGGAGCTAGGCCAGGCAGGATGTGTGAAGAGAGAGCTCGGCCAGACAGGATATGTGAAGAAGGCAACCTTTGCCCTCCACTCCCACACTTCTCTGCTTGTAAAACTTCCCAGCAGCAGTTACCTGACTGAGGAGGAGCTGGGGCAGGAGGGCCGAGCTGCCTCTCACTTGCCCCGTGTCCCCGCTCTTCCTGGAAGGGATGGACATCCTTCTCAGCAGCATTGGAAATGAAGGGTTTTTTTTTTTTTTTTTTTAACCTTTTGTTTTTTAAAAAATATATCTAAAATCTGCAAGGAAAAAACCCAAACCCCAACCTGATTCTGGATTGCCCGTGTGAACTTCCCCCGGCCCACTTTTGACTCCCTCCCCGCTCCTCACCCGGCCCAGCTTGTACCTGGGGAAGCAGTGGGCAGCCGACAGCACCCACTCCTCAGACACGAGGGACCCACCACACACGTGTTCGCGGAGGTAGTTGATGCTGACCTGCCAGGGCCACTGCGAAGGGGCTGCGTCGTCGCCTCCTGTGATGCGGGACTGGAAGACCGAACCACAGAAGGCTGCCCAGGGAGGAAGGGAAAGGTGTCAGGCTCTTCAGGGTGCCCACCCAAGCAGGTCCTTAGTTCTGCCAGGCTGCCATGTCTCAGGAGACCCGGTTTAAAGCCAGGGAAGTGGGTTCACAGCCTGCCCTTTGCCCTCATTCCTGGCTCACCAGGCATGGACACCTCCACCCCTCCTGTCCACTAATTACCTCGGTCCTGCCTCCCGTGACTCCACACTGACCTTAAAACACATTCCAGGACCCCATTAGGGTATACCTACTCCAGCCACCCTTTGCACTTTGGTCCTGTTCGCCTCTGGCCCTTTGCTCTGTGCATGGGGGATTAGAGTCTGGGTCAGCCATCTGGGTGGGAAGGCTGGTGCTTATATGCTTTGGCTGTGGAGAATGTCAGGAGCAGCCCTGCGTGCTGCCCTCCCATCTAGCCAGGCCTGGCCTCTGGGTGCTGTGGGCCCCACTTTCCTGACCTGCCTAGCTCACGACTGCTCTTAGGTCTGTGACTGTGTTTCAGCCACACTGACCTGGGTGTTCACCTGGGACGTTCTCAGGTCCCCAGCACTCTGTACACCATGGAGCAGTGGATGGGGATGAGCTGATGAACCTCAGGGGGCTGCTGTGCCATGCTGTGAGATGCCCACCCCATGAAGCCACCAGGAGTGAAGGCCACCTGCTGTGCCTCACCAGGTCACCACACACACTGCACTATCCAGGACAATAGCTACTATTTAGTGAGCATTAAGGCAGGACAGACCAGCCACAGCTTTCACTTCCTTTATCTTTTAGAATCCTCACTACTGCCCCAGGAGAGGACAAAATCAGCTGCACTTCAGAGGTGAGGAAAGGGGGCTTGGCAAGGTGAGGAATGTGGCCTGTAGCGCCTCCAAAGGAAAAACCCTGGGCTTATTTCTCTCAAAGTGGCCTCAGGCACTGCTCTTGGGAGTCAGCTGTAGCCTAAATCCAAGGACGCCACTTACCGGCTGCTTCCCTGCACAGGGGTTTCTGTCTCCTGGGGCTCCAACCTACCGCTCTACCCCTGTGCCGCGCTCCCAGTGCAGTAAAGTGTTGGGACCTCATTAAGGTCCCAGACTGGACCCCTTGTCTTTATCCATAAAGCGAAGGCCTAAGTTCCTCCCTCACAGAGCACTTGGGAGGCAAGAGGCCAGCAGAGGGTCAAGGGCAGAGAGGGAGAAGGAGGGGTAAGAGGGAGCCCGAGTCCCCCCAAGCCACCCTGCCTACGCACAAGAGGACCTCCCTCAATCTGGCACACACCACACATGCACACACTGCACACACCACAGAGGAGGGGAAAACAATGCTAGAGGCCAGGGGATCTTTTTCTCCTCGAGTTCGGGAGTTGAACTCAGAGAATGGGGAGCTATACCTCTAGTTCGTTCTCTCTCTCTCTCTCTCTCTCTCTCTCTCTCTCTCTCTCTCTCTCTCTCTTTCTCTGGAACCAGGGATTGAACTCAGAACCTTGCACTTGCCAGGCAAGCGCTTACTCTACTAAGCTATTTCCCTGGCCCCCTAGGCCTTTCTTATTTTGAGATAGGGTCTCCTAAGTGGTCTGAGCTGGCCTCAAACTTGCAATCCTGGGGCTGGAGAGATGGCTCAGTAGAATAAGCGCTTGCCTAGCCAGCGCAAGGCCCTGAGTTCAATCCCTGGTTCCGGGGGAAAAAAAAACCCCAAAAAACAAAAAACAAAACAACCCCAAAACTTGCAATCCTCCTGCCTCAGCCCAAATTTCTAGCCTTAAGAAGGCAAGGGATTCTTGAACTCTGAAGAGATGCCCCAAGGATTACACTCCCACCTTCTAGTGCGTGGCCCCCAAATTCCCTCCACTGTTCATAGGTACTCACGCATTCCCAGCCGGATTAGTCCAAGGAAGAGTAAAATGGCCACAGTGTGGTGGGGCTGCCCGGGCCTCAGGCCCCGCCCGTGGGCCATGGCCCAGGACAACAGCCACCGGGGCACAAAAGGGAAGGATTGGTCCCAGGCCTGGTCTCAAAGGCAGATCCAGGTGTGGGCTCACAGGTAAGGAATCCCAGAATTCCTGCCGGTAAGGTGGAGCAGGTGTCCAGGGCTGGCTTCTCAGGCCAGGAGAGGATGAGTGTCTTCAGCTACCTGTGTGGCCTTGCTCCGTGGCAGCTGCTGGGGGAAGGGTACCTACCTGCCGGCTCCGCCCCTGTCCCCGCCCTCCTGACCCGGCTCCTCAGCCTTTCCCAGCCGCCTGAGTCCCGAGTCCTTTCAGGTCCTGGGGGCGTGGGGCGGAGGCTGGCGAGCCACGGAGAGCAGCAGCCCCAGGCGGTCTGGAAACCCTGGTGGCCGGGGCCAACCGTCTCTGGGTGTCTCAGGTCTCCCGGATGGGTTATGCCTGCCAGGGGCTGCCCAGCCTTTGTTGTCTTGGGGCCGCTGCTCTTCCCTGCCTCCCTCCTCGTGCCAGGTGACTGAACCCAGGCCAGCGCCACTCCAGGCCTTTCTGTGAAATCTCCAGCCTCCACTGCAGGTGCTGAGTGTGGCCGGCAGCGCCCGGTATTTACTGAGAACCTGTTGTATCGAGGGCTCAAGGTACACAATAGATTCCATCCGTGATACTTTGAATAGGGGTGCAGAGTTGGATCACAAAATCACAGCCGCTGGCTCAGTGGCCTCGCCCATAATCCCAGTACTCCGGAGGAGAAGGGAAGAGTATCACCTGAAGTTTGAGGCCAGCCTGGGCCACGTAGTGAGCTCAAGGACAGTCTCTACTATACAGTCTCCACTAATGAGAGCCTGTCTCAAAAAAACCAAAAACAAAAACAGCCAATGATAAAATTACTTAAAACCAGGAACCATGATGGACAAGATGGGGGTCAAGTGCCAAAAATGGGGTCCTTCAAGGAAGCACTTCCAAGAACTGAGGTTGTTTTTGTAGCACCAGGGATTGAACCCAGGGCCTTCATTCACACTGAGCTACACCCCTGAGCCCTTGTTAATCTTTTATTTTGAGACCAGTTTCACTAAATCACACAGTGGTCCAGGCTGTCCTCCTGCCTCAGCCTCAGAGAATGCTGGGATCACGGGCGTGCGCTTCTGTGCCTCGTTTTTGAGGGCTTACGAAGTATTAAGGCAGAGATGACAATGGCTTTGGGTAGAGGGAGAGAAAGCCTTGCCACTTGGTGAAGGTCTTATGGATGCTCTGCAGGCGTGGATCTGTGGCCTCTGGGATATGTGTTGGGTGAAGCCTGAGGAAAAACACTCTTCCTCCCCACTCTCATTCCAGAAGACCGGGATTCTGGACCTCTAGCCAGAACCTCAGGCTGCAACACCCTAGAGCTAGCTGGCTTGGGAAGGGGTCTAAAATGGGAGGAGGAGACAAGACTCTGGGAGACATGGGCGGGTGTGGGTAGAAGGCGGGTGTCCTGTGTCTGCAGGGATGGCCGGCTGGCAATGCAGAGCAGGTGTGGATGCATCTCCCTGTGGCGGACATGGGGAACAGGGCCAAGGTCCTCTGTCTTTCCCTCGCCCCAGCGAGGTCTTGTTTCCCTCCCAGCTGCCTCCCCACTCAGCTCTAGAGGCAGCTCCTTGGTCATGGCCACTCACAGTGGCTACCTTCTGCCCCTGCCAGAGCCCCACTTGCCCTTTTTCTGTGGATGTTGGTGTTTTCCCCTAGATGAGGGCGCCTTGTGGCTCCCAGGACATGGTGACTGCATTGTGCCTTGGTGGTTTAATGCAGGAAGGTGCACAAGTCGGTGGGGGAGGCAGCGGGCTTCATAGAGGCAGCACCCGCATCCTGGAGGCAGCTGCTAGGAGCCCCTCCAAGAGTGGGGCGGCATTCGTGGGATATGTATTTGGGGGTTAGCTCTCACCCCAAGGCCTCCCTGCGCTAGTGGGAGGGGCAGCAGGGTGTGAGCTAGAGCTGAAGTATGCGGCAGGTGCTGGGGACACCAATTCCACTGGGCAGGTGACACACAACCAGCTGGCCCCTTACCTCCCCGCCCTAGGGCAGGAATGAGAGAACAGAGCTGCCACGTTATTCGGGACACATTTCCTGGGAGCCGAAGGCCTGACTCACAGTGCCCGGGAGGGCGGGGCCCTTCTCCTGGGGCTTCTTCCAAGTTCTCAGCCCCTTCGCCTGTCCCTGGTGATACCACAAGGCCACGTGTCTGTGTTTACATCTTTATTATCTGCTCCTCCGCCCCAAGGATTCCTGGGCCCCAAATAGCCAGCACTGAGGCCCAATCGTCGGAAGCCCTGGCCAGGTGCTAGGTGGAGGGGACACCCACCCTGCAAGCCTGCAGCCAGCTGGTCCAGCGGCATTCCTGCCCTGCTGGCAGAGGCAGCAGTGGTGGCAAAGAAGACAAGGCTCCGGGAGGCAGGCTCACCAGCCCTGGATCAGGGGAGTCAGCAGCAGCAAGAACAGAGCAGCGGCTCCAGGGGAGCCTGAGGCCCCTGCCAAGTCTGGGGGGCACAGGTCACTGCCCTCGGGGAGCCAGTAGGGTAAGCCACTAGGGGGCAGGAAGTGGGCCTCCCCCACAGTCTGGGAGATCCAGGCCTCTTCTGGGCCAATGGCTGCGAACAGCTCCCGGCTCCCTCGGACAGCCAGGCCCATGAGGACCCAGGAGCCTCCCTCGGTCTGGCACAGGAGGGGCGGTGCCGAGGTCACCTGTGGAGTTGGAGCCAAGAGGAATGGTGGCACCCTTCCTCCTGGTCCCCTGCACTGTGGAGGCAGCCTGGGCCCAGCCAAGAAGCACTGCGTCTTCCCACCTGGAGCCCAGTGCCCAGGAATTCCAGCCCCGGTGTCTGTCTCAAGGGTCCACCTGCCCGGCACAGCTTCAGCCCACCCAGGCCCAGGAAACCCACACGCAGGTGCCCTACCTCACACCTGTCATCTTGGCCCTCTGCGTAGAGGACACAGAATGTCCCAGGGGGCAGGATGCCCTGATACAGGCAGTGACAGAGTCGTGGCGTCAAGATGGAGACGGGAGCAGCCACAGGGACTGGAGGGAGGGAAAAGGGTTGCCCAGGGCTCTGGCTTCCAGGTCCCCTTCATGCCCAGGATTCAGGGCTCTCACCTCGGTCTCGAGGGTCTTTCCAGCCCAACACCCAGCAGCTGGCCCCCGGGGGGACACCTCCTGGGTGGAGGCAGATGGGGAGCGTGGATGGCGAGGGCTGCACTCGGGAGCTGAGCTCCAGGAGGGTCAGGGGGGGCCCTAGTCCCAAGTGCCGGGGCAGGCGGATGCTGGTGACCAACCGAGACACCTGGTGGCCCTGTGGGACAGGGCTGGCCCCCACCCTGCCCAAGTAGACTTCAACATAAGGCACTGTTGTAGAGCCTGGCCTGCAGAAACAAGGACCCGTGTCACCTCCTGCTCCTCTTGTTGCAGGGTAAAGGGTAACCTGGAGCTCTAGGGGTCACACCACCAACTCCTTCATTGTTCCTCCTTCCAAATCTTCCTGTCTTGAAACACCTCAAACAAAAAACCCCAAATCAAACCAACAGGAGCGTCTCACTGCAGCCTTCTCAAGCTGCAGGAGGCTCAAGGGAGAGCGTCCCTCCACTACAAGAGTCCTGACCAGCTCCCAGCCAGGAGAGGAGACCCACCTGAGGACACAGTGGGTGGCTGCCAGGACCCAGCCAGGGGCCACAAGGATCCCAGTGCAGACTCGCTCGCCAGCCACGTGCACCTCTGCCAGCCAGGGCCACAGCACCCCAGCTGGAGCAGACTCTGGCCGTAGGCCGCAGGCTAGGACAGGAGGCAGCTACCTCAGCAGGGGCCCCTCGGGGGATCTCTGCAGCTCCTAACCCAGGGACCCTTGCTCACCACCATGCTCTGTGTGTGGGGGACAAGTCTGAGGCTCAGTGACCTCGCCCTCAGGGCCCCAATCCCAGGCCAGCTGGTCTTCCAGGTAGGCTCCCCGCGTCACATGGCTGATCCACGGGCCGTGGGTCTGCAGTGGGGTGAAGGCTCGAGGGCGGAGACAGCCACCAGAGATGCCGCTGATTCCAGCCAGGAACCAGGTCCCCTTCTCCCGGCACACCAGGCTCCAGCTGGAGTCGTTCTATGGTACAAGCATGTGCAAGTGTGTCATTGGCTTGCGCCTGACCTTTCTTGGACTTCAGGTATTTTGTATGCAGACATTACACCCCACAGGTCACTTAGGCCCCACCTTACGATTCCCCTTAGAGCTGCTTAGGCCCCCGGGGCCAGGCTCCGCGGCAGCCCGGCCCGCCCCCGGGCCCGACTCAGGCCCCGCCCCCAGCCCCCTTCTCACCCAGCAGTGGCCCGCCTCCTCCTCTTCCTGGTAGGCGGGGCAGAGCGCTCGCGGCGGGTCTCCGGCCGGCGGTACTGGCGCCCCCTGGCGGCCATAGAGGCAGTGACACCACCAGCCACCCAAAAGCTCCGCTTCCAGCTGCGCTCCAGGGCCAGGCGCGGGTTCTGGGAGGGAAAAAGCCGCGAGTCCGAGCCGCGATCCCGTGGGACCCCGCCCCAGCCCGCGCCGCGCCAGGACCCCGCGCACCCCCGCGGCCCCAGCGAGCCAGGCGGCAGCGGCTCCCGGGCAGGAAGTAGTGTTCAGGATGGGCCAGGCACACAGGCCGCAGGGCCGAGCTCAGGTTCACGGGCGCGCGCAGCCGGAGCAGCGCCAGGTCCGCCGCGTGGTCGTGCGAAGCGTTTTCGTGCAGCACCAGGCGCGCCACCCTCTCCGCACGCGGCCGCGAGGGCAGCAGCACCCGCCAGGCGTCGAGGTCACTGGGCCGGCTGTCCCAGGTGCCCGAGCTGCGGGATGGGGAAGGAGGTTGGGGCGGGACCAGGTCTCCACAGTCGCTGGACACCTCGCGGGCCCGGACTGCCCCTAGGCAGGGCTTTACCCCACCCAATCAAACGTGTCCGCCGCCCCGCCCTCAGCCCCCCGCTGGAGCGAATTTGCACCATCCCCCACCAGCCCCCGCAGATTAGGACCCCCCTCTTCGCGGTGTCCAGGCAGGTTTCCCGCAGCACCTCCAGAGAGGGCTGGGTGAGATAGATTGTGTCTCAGGTAGACGAGGGCTGGGTGAAATGGAGGCAAGAATCTGCCTGTAGGGGCTGGGGGTGTAGCTCAGTGGTGTAGCGTCTGCCTGGCAAGCAAGAGGTCTTGAATTTGAATCCCCCTAACCCCCCAAAAGAATCTGCCTGAGACGTTCTCAGGGGTTCTCCCTCACTCCAGAAAGCAGCTGGCAGGTGTTAAGAGCCAGCTTTCCGACACCAGCGCCCCGTGGCAGGGTCTGAATCCTGGAACCGTCACCTGGGCTGCCCAGGGCCAGGCCCCCGGCCTCGGAGCCTTCCCGCACTCTGAGGGGCGAGAGATCAAGAGATGGGGTCAGGGGCCCGCGGAGCCCCTCTCTCCCAGGCCCATCTCGGCTCGCGTGCGTTCCTGGTGCGCTCACCTGGCGGGGCGATGGTACAGTTCTCCTCCCTGGGCTCCCGGGGCCCCGACTGGGGCTCCTGCGGCTGGCTGGGAAAGGCAGGGCCAGGCTCTGAGCCGGTCACCTGATCCCGAATCCAAGTCTCATAGGGGGCCACCGCAGTGAAGACCCCGGGACGGTTTCTTCGCCCACAGCCAAAGCCAAAGCTAGTGATTCCCGCCTGGAACCAGCGGCCACCTTCCTCACAGACCAGAGGTCCTCCGGAGTCACCCTGATGACAAATGACGTGTCGGGGGTGGTCAGTTCGAGGATCATCCACCGGCTTACGCTGGTTTCAGGGTAAAGGTTCTACCGTTCTTTCGAGACAGGGTCTCACTATGCAGTTCAGGCTGGACTTGAGCTCCCTTTGGAGCCCAGGCTAGTCTCAAACCCTGTGCCCTGCTGTTTCTGCCTCAGCTTCTCCAGTGCTGGGATTACAGGTGTGCGCCAGCAGGCCCAGCTATAAATGTGCTATTTATGACCTTTACTAGGCGATGCGGAAAATTATTTACTGTGAAGGATTAATTTATTTTTTCCAGTACTATTTATAGGCACTCTGTTATGGCCTGGTGTTTAGGTTTAAAATGTCCCTCCAGGAGCCGGGGAGATGACTCAGTAGAAGGGCCTGAGTTCAATCCCGGTTCTGCCAAAAAAAAAAACCCCAAAACAACAACAAAAAACACAGTGAGTCCGATCTAGTAGCGAGACCCTGAACACCCTGTAGACCCTTCCCTAAAAATACAAAAGGAAACCTCAATCCCCAGTTCTGAAAAAAAAAAAAAAAAAAAAGTCCCTCCAGTTCTCACATGTGTGGAAAAAGACTGACTCGTGGGGTGCTGTGCTCGTCGGAGACTCATTCATAGAGTTCATAGCCGAAGGTGATGTTAGGAAGTGAGCCCCGATTGGCTGCGGTCCCTGGGGGCGTGGCCTGGAAAGGCATGGCCTGGGCCAGCCCCTCCCTCGGCTCTGCTCCTGCCATCTGCAGTGCCCCTGTGCCCTGCTGTTTACCTAGGAACCAGCCAACCATGGGCTGAACGTGCCAAAATAACTCTTGTCCTTTAAGGTGGGGGCGTCAGCTACTTTGTCCCAGCCACAAAGACACAAAGAAAGGGACACAAAGAAAGCAGAAAGGGACAAAGACATCTGGGGTTTGGGATAGGAATAACAACAGCTGATACTTAGCACTTATTAAGGAACAGCTGCTGTTAATAACTATAGCAACGCTTCCTGAGGCATATAGCATTATCTTCTCCGTGTTCCAGATGAAAAAGCACAGGTAGTTTAGGTCAATCGGGTCAAAGTCGCGAAACTGGGGCTCTAGACTTCTCATTAGGCGGAGATTGAACTCAGACCTTTGTGCTTGGCAGGCAAGCACTTATTCAACTGAGCTATCTCTCCGGCCCCTAGCGCTCTCTTCTTGAGTCCCAGCTTCTATTTATTATTTATCTATCTATCTATTTATTTATCCGGCGAGGGGAGGTGTCTCACTATGTGGTTCAAGCTGACCCTGAACTCATGACACTCCTCCTACCTCAGGTTCCTGAGTGCTGGGATTACAGGTGTGCACCACTATCCCTAGCTCTCAGCTTCTCTTTAATATGTTCGTGTCAATCTCATCCACTTGCAATCTTTTTTTTATATTTTTATTTTTTATTTTTTTGTGGAACCAGGGATTGAACTCAGGCTCTTGTGCTTGCCAGGGAAGTGGAAGCGCTTATTCCACTGAGCCATCTCCTCGGCCCCTTGCAATCTTTTTTTAATATACCATTTTTGTGATCCTGGGGATTGGACCTACAACTTTTGCACTGAGCGGGCCTTAACCTTTAAGACCATTGTGCTACCATACTTGACTACTTGTTATTTTATCTTATTATCACCATTACTATTATTATTTTGTGGCATTTGGGATTTGCCAAGGGCTGTATGCATGATAGACATGTGTCATACCACTAAGTTCCAACCCCATCCCCAGTTCCACTGACAATCTTGCCCTCTTTTTGCAAATGAGGCCCAGAGAGATGTCTATCGAGTCATTAACTGCTTCCTGTGAGCTATGGGTCTGTCCTTGCCAGGGACTCACAGACAAGGGACCTCTCACCTGGCAGGTGTCCCTGCGTCCCTCTGGGTAGCCAGCGCACAGCATCCCTGGCAGGAGCTGGAATGTGAGGTTGAAGGGGCCGGGTCGGCTATAGAGACACTGACAGGCAGCCTCTCCCAGAAGCCGAAGCTCTACTTCCTGTAGCACCCAGGGGAGAGGCAGCGGGTCTGTTGGCAGAAGCAGACACCAGACACTGTGAGGCAGGTATGGGGCACCCGATCCCTTAGGTTGGTGCCTCCTAGACACAGCCATCACGGTACCCCAATGGGAAACTAGGGGGGAGATGAAAGAGAGGTATGATGATGTATTCTGGACAGCTAAGTAAGGCAGAAATAGTACGGGCAGTCAGATAGGGCTGGGCCCTCGGGACAGGCAGTGCGGGAGATGAGAACACATTGCAGCTGTGGCCGGGGGTGAATCTGCTGAAGACCAGGTCTCCAGATTAGATGGAAGCCAGGTGTGGTGGCGCACACCTGTAATCCCAGACCTTAGGAGGCTAAGGCAGGAGGACTGTTGTGAGTTTGAGACCAGTCTGGGCTACAAAATGAGCTCACGGTCAGCCTGAACTGCATAGGGAGAACTTGTCTCAAAAAGAAATAAAAAAAAATCAGATGGAATGACCAGGCGCATACATATCTCCCTGAGGGACAAGCAAATAAGTGAGATTATACTATAATTAGCATCACCTAGCCCAGTGAAGTCTAGATAGACATCAGCCACCCAGGTGGGTGACGCACCTCCACATCCATCCCTTCCCAAGAGTCCCTTTGGTCTCCCCTTGCTACATGACCTACTTCCCTATTGGATCAACATTAGCTAAGCGGCCACACTTGTAATCTTATGGGTTAAGCAGTTTGACCATCTTGTATCCACTTGGTGATTTTGCACTATAAAACATTCTCAGAAAAGTGTGATGACTGAGCCAGGCAAATAGCTCAGCGGATTAAAGCGCCTGCAAGCAGGCACAGGGGGCTGGGGTTCAATCCCTGGGCCTGCGGTGCCGGCCCCGCCCCCAGGGTGCACTGAGATGGCCATTGAGACTGGGTGTGGTGGCGCAGGCCTGTAATCCCAGCTCTTAGGAGGCTCTCAACAGGTGGATCACTGCGAGTCCAGTCTAGTAGTGAGACCCTGAACACCCTGAAGCCCCTTCCCTAAAATACAAAAAAGGAAAAAAAAGAAAGAGAAGAAAAGTGCTCCTCCTCTGTAACACTGCATTCTCAGCCTGTGCCTTTCAGAAACTAATCTCTCAATATTTTTCTACTTTTTTTTTTCCTTTTTGGTCTTTTTTTTTTTTAGACAAAGTTTCACTATACAATTCAGGCTGGCCTCCAACTCACGTGGGTGCTCCTGTCTCAGGCTCCAGTGCTGGGATGCCAGGTGCCTGCCACCATGCCAGGCCACTCTTCTATTTTCCTTAGAATTTTTTTTTTTTTTTTTCCCGAACCGGGGATTGAACTCAGGCCCTTGCGCTTGCCAGGCAAACACTTATTCTACTGCACCATCTCCCCGGCCTCTAGAATTCATTCTTTGATATGAACTTAGTGTATCTGATATCTAGCAGGGTGGGCATTTCATTTTTCCATACATTATTGGGGGAGGAAAAGATCGAAGTATGTTATGTGCATGTTCAAATCTGCCAAAAGGAAACCCATTAATCTCTGTAGCTAATTTGCCATAATAAAAAATAGTGGGCAGGGGCCACAGAGATAGCTCAGCAGTCTAAGTGCCTGACTAAGCAAGCGCATGGACCCGGGTTCAGTCCCCAGTACCACATGCCATGCTGACCCTGACCCGGGTACGCTGAGTCAGCCACCAAGATGGGACATGGGGGTGCACGCCCGTAATCCCAGCGCTGAGGAGGCTGAAACGGGAGGATCACTACAAGTCCAAGCTACATCATGAGTCCCTGTACTAAATACATAAAATAAATAAATAAATAATAATAGTGGTACCAAAGATGTATCCCCTTGGCCTACACAACCCCTCCTCCCTCTATCTGTCATCTACCGGCTTCCCCATCTCAGGACTCCATAAGTGACAGCGAGGGTGGCAGTCTGGTGCATTGGGCTGACAACTATGTGTGGGGACTGAAATGACTGATCTCTGAGCCCTGGCATGGAGTCATGGTGATCCAGAGAGGGCACCCTGTCCACAATAATGCCAGGTAGAGGACTAATAGCCTTGTACGGAGTCGCCAAGTGCCCATGGCCTTTGCTTGTTTACTTTTGGTTTTCTGGGACAGAGGTTTGCTTTGTAGTTGAGGCTGGCCCAGAACTCCCAGTGAGCCTCCTGCCTCAGGCCCTGTCTCCTGCCAGTGCTGGGAGGACAGGCAGTGCCAGCCTGCCTTCTATGACCCCTTTCAAGCCCCCAGCCAGCTCCCAAGCCAACTGTGCTCCAGCACGGCTTCCACAGCTGCCCTAGCTCCGGTGCTGTAGGCTTGTGGCTGCTGCCCCAGGATAATGTTTCTCCAGCCCAGCTCTGACCTTAACCAAGAATAGTAAGTGGATCCAGGAGCCGGGCGTGGTGGTGCACGCCTGGAGTCCCAGCACTTGGGAGGCTAAGGCAGGAGGATCGCTGTGAGTTCCAGGCCAGCCTGGGCTACAAAGTGAGCTCAGGATCAGCCTTAGCTGCATAGTGAGACCCTGAGAGGGCGGGTAATGGCTGAGCCAGTACTGGGGGCTCAACCAGGAAAGTTTGGAGCGTGTCCTGAGAACCCCTGGGGCTCTGTTCCTCAGTCCCACCTTCAGGCTCTCATGGTCTGGGCTCGGTGGCCGTGTCAGCCTCCATGGCCCTTGCCCCCTTCACTCAACCTGGCTTTTTGGCCCACCTCCCTGGCCCCAGGGTGGCCTCTGCCTCCCTGCACTTTGCTTCGGTACAAAATGTCCTCAGAAATCTGTTCTGCCAGCCCCTGCCAGGATGGCCTGGCCCAGTCCATGGGGCTCTCCCAGGTGGCCTCAGCTGCTTCCTTGTCACTCTCTGCCCCAACACCCCCTGCTGGGATCTTTCCCGCTGGGCCTCCCTGTCCTCACCTGGAAGTGTCTGATCACAGGGAAAGGGAAATGCTGGGGGCGGGCAGCAGAGAAGGGCAGCACTGGGTGTTGGAGAATGGAAAAGTGGTTTGTTTCGCCCCACACCTACGAAGAGTGCCTGCTTATTTATTGAGTTTACTGCTTGTCTACCTACTAGACTGTGAGCGCTGAAGACAGGGTTTTGCTTTTAATGTTCAGTGGTGTATCTCTGAGGCTTAACACATTGCCTGGCACATAAAAGTATCTTAAAAGGATGACAGAATGAAGAGGGGAAGCTGGAGAAGACAGGAGGAGAGGGACTGGACAGGATGGAGAGGAAGGGAGAGGGCAAAGGAGGCCAGGATGTTTGCTGAGTGCCTACTGTCTCTCAGGGGCTGTGCCTGAGTGTGGTGAACTGGGTTACTTACGGTCAAAATACCCACATTAAGTATGGTGATGCAAGGCACCATGCTACGAGCTGTGGGTGGATTTTTCTGATTTAACCTACTCAATGATCCATTATTATTATTATTATTATTATTATTATTATTATTATTATTATTATTATTGAGACAGGTTCTCATTATGTAGTGCAGGATGGCCTCGAACTCACGGCCATCCTCCTGCCTCAGCCTCCTGAGTGCTGAGACTAGCGGTGTGCACCACCATGTCCAGCTGACCCCGTTTTACAGAGGAGGAAATGTACTGGGTGAAATGCTTGATCTGAAACAGCCGAGCTAGGATGAGAACTCTAGCCGGATCTAAACACAGAAAAGAAAAAAGAGGAAAGGTGAGGCGGGAATAGGGGTGGGGGTGAGGGGTTAGGTTGTGTTAGAGAATCCCAAGAGAGGACAGATAAGATTAGGATAGGTGTGGAATTTTTCCAGCTAGCAGACACCTGCCTTTGTTTAAAGCTCGGACCTGCGAGGCGGCCCCGGACCCCGCCCTCCAGAACCACACCCTCGTTTCCGACGGCTCCGCCCTCCAGAGCCCCGCCCTCTAGAGCCCCTCTCCTCCCTCCCTACGGCCCCGCCCCTCCTATGGCCCCGCCCCTAGAGCACAGGCCGCCCCTCCTATGACCCCGCCCCTCAAGCCCCGCCCCTCTCCCTACGGCCCCGCCCCGTCCCCACTCACCCGCCTCCTGGACGTCTCCCCAGCCGGTGGCCCAACAAGCTGTGCCGTGTACGAAGCGGTGCCCGGCGCGCGGCAGGCAGACGGGTCGCACGGTGGGGCCCAGCCTGGCGGGCGAGGCCAGGCGCAGCAGGGCCAGGTCGGCGCCCAGTTCCACGTTGCTGTAGTTGTCCGGCACCAGGATGGCGGCCACTGCGCGGACGTGCGCGCCGTCCAAGGGCCCGTCCTGGGAGTGCACGCCCAGGAGCACCGACCATTCGGCTGCAGGCTCCAAGGTCCCGTTCCTGAGCCGAGGCCGGGATGCGCGGGGTTGGGCTGGACCAGTGAGGGCCGCCGACCCTCGGGGGCGGAGCCAGAGCCCAAGTGGGGTCCCGAGGAGCACAAGGGCAGAGAGCCTGGGGCACACCCGATTTGGAGGTGTGATAGGACGGTTGGGAGGAAAGAGCCAGACCCGGGGATGTGTGGCCTTTGCCCATCCGGAGCCGCTGGGCTCCAAACTGGCATTGAGGGGGGAGCCGGGGAGCCAAGCCTTGGGTTTGGCATTTGAAGGAGGGGGCTGCGCGGGGCAGGTACTCACGTCACAAAACAGTGAGCTGCAGAGAGGACCCAGGAAGGGGCGATGAGGGAGCCCCCGCAGACGTGGCCGTCGCCTTGGTGCAGGCTCACCTGCCACGGCCAGGCGCCAGGCCGCGAGTCTGTGCCCCCCACGATGCGGGCAGAGGGCTCAGGGCGCCCGCAGTCTGCAGCGGGGAGTCCTGGGGGTCAGAGCCTACCCCGGATTCCCCATTCACTAAGGCCCAGGTAACTCAGTGCCAGGCACAACCCTCCACCTGGCTCAGGGGTGAGGCCTGTCTGCATTGGTGGGCACTGCCACCTCCCCTTGGCCCTCCGAGCCTAACCTCATTTAGGGTCCAGGGCCGCCCAGGCCACTTTCTTACCCAGCTCTTCAGGGTCTTCTTGGGTGGGTCTGAGAACTGGGGGCCGGAGGGTAGAAAGAGGGAGACGCCCAGTGACTTCCAGCCTATGCACTTCCACTCTGCGCCTGCAGCTGCCTTCCCAACTCCCTTCCAGCCCCGCCAGCGCCCAGGTCGGACCTTAGCAGGTGACTTTCCCCAGTCCAGCCTTACCTGAGTCCCAGAAGGCTCCTGGGGTGGGACGGAAGGCTGGAAGACAGGGAGGCAGGAAGAGGCTGGGGAGAGCACCTGCTCTTGGAAGTTCCATCCTCCCTGAACCCCTCTGCTCAGCTCCATATCCCGGGGGACCCAAGCCTTCATACATGCTCCTCCTGCCACCTCCATCCCTCCTGCTGCCCCTGCTCTTCCTCCTCAGACACCCCTTTTTTCTCCCTCTCCTCACACCTCACTCCCTGCAGGGAACCCAGGAATCCCATGTGCTTGTGGCCATTTGTCCCCCGAGGTTACCGAGCATCACAAGTGGGAGGAACAGGTGCTGGGACATGGCAGGCTGGAGTCAAGGAAGCCACTGGGGTGGCCGAACGTTGGCTTCCACAGCTCTGTCACTGTCTCAGCTGCTTGTGACTCCTTTTGGTCCCAGGAGCCGCCCCACCCTCCCTGGCTGGAGCCCATCTCTGGGAATTTGAGAGGATCTGGGGCTGGAAGGGGGAACTAGGGAGCCCCAAGGCCCCACCCAAGCCCTGGGTGCATCTCACATCTCTGGAGGCCCTGGTATTGGGGGGGAGGGGTGCAAGGTCCAGGACAGCTACTAAGGTGGACAGCCATGGGCCGAGGCCAAGGAAGAGAAGGGCAGACGCTGGGAGCCATTCCATGGGCTTGGCAAAGCAGAGCTGGGGGCAGCAGGGACCTTCGGAGGAAGTAGGTGGTCCCTCCCTGGTGTGGCTCACCTGGGACTGCACCACCGCTTGGGGTGTGGCTGCCCCAGGGCTTGGCTTATTTCTTCTCACACAGCTCTGGTTACTGGAGTTGCTGGCCAGGTCCCGACTAGAGCTCTAGGGAATTCAATCCCATCCCAACAAAAGGATCACAGATTCTAGCATGCTGGGCAAAGAGAGGTGTTCTGGAGGGGGTGGCACAGGCTGGCAAGGCCAAAAAGACTCTTCCTTTCTCTGGGTGGGAGTGGGTACTCTCAGATGCTTTGTCACTTGCTCTTGTATGGCCCTGGGGAAGGCACCCAACCTGTCTGTGTGCTGTACAGCATTAGGAGCCCGTTTAAATTGGACTTTCGGTGTACACCTGTAATCCTAGCACTCAGGGATGCTGAGGCAGGAGGCTTGACAGGTTAAACCCATGGGGCTGGGGAGATAGCTCAGTAGAATAAGCGCTTGACTGGCAAGTGCAAGGGCCTGAGTTCAATCCCTGGTTCCACAAAGGAAAGAAAGAAAGAAAGAAAGAAAGAAAGAAAGAAAGAAAGAAAGAAAGTAAGTTTAAACCCAGTCTGGGCAATTTAGCAACTTACTGAGAACTTATCTCAAAAACAAATGTAAAAAAAAAGGATATAGCTCAGTATGCAGGCTCTGGGTTCAATCCTCTGTACAGGGAGAGAGAGAGAGAGAGAGAGAGAGAGAGAGAGAGAGAGAGAGAGAGAGAGAGAGACAGACACAGTCTACTTGGTAGATGGAGTTGAAGTCCCCTTCTGATCACATGATGGGTTATCCAGGTGGGTCCAGCCTGACCCCTGGAGCCCTAAAGGCAGAGCATGTGTCCTGATTTTGGTCAGATGGCAAAAGTAAAGACAAAGAGTTGGAGAGAAGGAGCAGCACCAGCTCTGACAGTGGAGGGTGGGGACAGGAGCGAAGGAACAAGAACGGCTTCTGGAAACTACAAAATGCCAACAGTGACTTTCCCTGGGCCTCCAGGCAGGACCAAAGTGGGAGGGCAAAAGAGCAGGTGGTGGGGTGGAAACCTCAAGGCCTTTGTAGCAGCATTAGCTCATTCTGGAGAGAGGGTCCCTTTTCCTTGTCCTCTCAAAGGTCCCCTCAGGGAGAACCTGACCCTATGGGCTCAAGTGATTGTTGGCATGCCAGGGTGTTCCACTACATCTGGGGTGGGTCCCTCCATTCACTACTGTTTTGTTTTGTTTTGTTTTGTTTTTTTGTTCCTCGAATGCCTTCAGGGCACTTTTGGCCAGCTGGAGAGTTGTGAGGTTCAAACTCCAGCAACCTGAGGCTGACAGCTTTGTGGAAGCAGCCACTTAAAGGACTGAGCTAGGGCCAGGCCCCCTTGTTGTTTTTGGAGAGTTGTGAGGTTCGAACTCCAGCAACCTGAGGCTGACAGCTTTGTGGAAGCAGCCACTTAAAGGACTGAGCTAGGGCCAGGCCCCCTTGTTGTTTTTGCAGAACCGAGGATTGAACTGAGGTCCTTGTGCTTGCCAGGGAGGTGCTTATTCCACTGAGCCATCTCCCCGGCCCCACCACTCACTACTGTTGCATTGGGAAGTAAGTTTTCCTCACTTGATGTTTTTTTTTTTTTTAATTATTTATTTATTACATTTATTTATTGTGTGTGTGTGTGGCCAGCTCAGCCCACCAGGGGGCGGGGCTGGCTGGCATGTGGTGCTGGGGGATCGAACCACAGTCCCTGTGCTTTGACAAGCTTGTTTCAAGTAGGTGCTTTAGACCACTGAGCCATCTCTCCAGCCCCTCCTCACTTGATGTTTAGGGTGTGCAGCTGAACCAGAGCAGAGCTTGTGCTGTGGCCCAAAAAGATTACTCTGGAGGGAAGAAATCAGGATGAAAAAGTTGGCGTGTGGAAATAACCTTTTTTGTGTGTGTGCTGGGGGAGGGATACTGGGGATTGAACCCAAGGCCTTCTTACTCTCTGCCTCATAGCCCTCCCTTTTTAAATTTTGAGCGAGGGTCTTACTAAATCAGTAGCTTGCCCAGAATGCATTTGAACTTGTGATCCTGCTGCCTCAGCCTCTCCTAGCTAGAATTATAGGCCTAGTTTACCATCAGGCTGTGCTGAGATAATAAGTTGTTTCATTTTGTTTTGTTTGCAGCAGGGCCTCGTGGTAATTCAGGCCAGCCTTGAACTCACTACGTAGCCCAGGCTGGCCTTGAAGTCGCGGTGCTCCTGAGCCTCTGGGTGGGTTGTAGGCACGAGCCACTGCGGCTGGCTTTGAGATGATTCCTGACCTCCTCCCCAGCCCGCAGATTTGCAGACTAGGGTTTGCTCGTCTGCATAGTCTAGTGGCTTCTCACAGCAGTGGATGTACCGCGGAGGAGCGGGGTTTCCTCTAGGGAGATGCTGAACTTTCTGGGGCGCACATGTACGTGCATGATCAGCAGAGCTGCCCTGGTGAGTCTAATAGTTCTGCCGCCCCCAGGAGCCCTTGCTTGAGAACTGCTGCTCCGGGCTTCCTAGCGGCCCATGCAGAGAGGCAGAGGCAGGCACACTGGGCCCCCAAGTCTGCTTTGCTGTCACTGGCTCACACCGTGTTGGCATCACCGCAGATGTGCAAGGACCAGTTCCTCACGTGGGTCCTCACAGAGAGGACACTCTGGTGGAATGCACTTTTCCTCAAGAACGTCATGATGGCAAAAGCAGCAAAGTTTCATGAGGTTGATTTTCATGGTTCTGCTTAACGACAGCCAGTGGAACCACGAGCAACCCACAGTCAGTAGAATAAATTTTTTAAAAATTTATTTATTTATTTATGTGTGTGTGTGTGTGTGTGTGTGTGTGTGGCCAGCACAGCCCACCAGGGGGCAGGGCTGGCTGGCATGTGGTGCTGGGGATTGAACTGCGGTCCCTGTGCTTTGCTAAGCTTGTTCTAAGTAGGTGTTTTAGACCACTGAGCCGTCTCACCAGCCCAGTAGAATAAACAAGGGGCGGCCTTGGCCTCAGAGAGGTGAACATACACAGTTCTCTGCTGGTTTGATTAGCAGAAGAGGAAATTATAGATCAGCCAGTGCTTGTGTTTTCTAATGTTTGTATAACAAATTACCTCCTGTCTCAAAAGAAAACAAATAAACAAGTCAGACCCTGGTCTCACTGGGCTATAATCCAGGCATTGGTGGGACTCTGGTCCTGCCTGGAGGCCGAGGGAGAGTCAGTGTTGGCTTTTTGCAATATCCAGAAGCTGCTGCTGTTCTTTGGCTCTGTCCCCTTTCTCCACTGCTGCTATTCTTTAACTCTTTGGCTTGGCATTTTTCCCTCTGACCAAAATCAGGAAACACGCTCCGCCTTTAGGTCTCCGGGGGTCAGCCTGGGCTCACCTGGATAACCCACTTGTCCCAGTCGACCTGCAGAGGCCCTGCCACATGAGGCCAAATATTCCCTGGTTCTGGGGTTTAGTGTATGAACACCTCTGGGGCCTCTGTGCTGCTTGTCACAGCCCGAAGTGGTCATGACTGTGTCTCTCGTCTTCCTGTGTGTCCTGAGGTTAAATTTGAGGAAATGTCCCATATTCAGACGGGGAAATCGAGGCTCCTGGCCATGGTGAAGGGACATGCCTTATTCTTTCGACCCACACAGTTTTGCTCAGCCTGGCATCATCCCTTTACCCTTTTGTGGCAAATTTCTACATCTCCCTGAGCACCAGGCTTC